TGCAATTCTTAATTGTGAAATTATTCTTGAAAAATTAAATAATTAAAACTGTGTGGTTGGTGGTATTGGGAGTGATCCACAATTCGCTTCCAGAGCTGTACCCCTGTATCCACCCCCTGAACCGTTACAGTTTTATGGTGGCAGCGGTGGGATCCGTTGTGGATCCCATATATATAAATAAAGTAAGAATAATATTTCACAAATATTCCAAATTGATAAGATTCCATAAGTTAAAAGATTTGTGACAAATTTTTTTATAAAATGGAAAATATTTCATCTATCAATTCCCTCTCAAGGAGAGTGGATCATGTTAATGGTCCGGCTGGAAATTTACGCTCTCGCCAAGTGTCCAATATTTCGGAGCTAAGTTCTGGTGAAAATACTGGTACTCGGTTTCCAGATGTTGACTTTGGTCAACCTTCCAGACATGAATTGTCTGAGCAACTCAATGCTGTGAGTCCAGCAAATTCACCTGCTGTTAGTTCAGTAGGTAGGTTTTAAAATGATCTGCAGGTAACAAGACGACCAGAATATTCTGACCCTAGGGTCAGTGAATACTTGCCATCCAGGTCACACAGTGAAGATCGTTTGCCAAATGTTCCTAATGTGTACCCTGAGAATCAGTTTTCACGGACTAGTCATAATTACCCATACACTGGTCAGACTGGGTACCCAGTACTTGCTCCACCACCAATGGTGAGTTCAGACCAAAATCTAATTGGTCTCGTGTCACAATTGTCTAGTAGTGTGCTGGGTCTTGCACAAAGGATTGACACTCTGGACAGATACCCCCCAAGGGGAGATCATTCAATTGGAAGAATATCTCTCCAATTGTCTAAATTTAATGGCCAAGGAGATTATCGTGCTTTCGAAGCACAGATTAAGAATCTGGTTGCACAGTCATGCTGGGATAATAACCAGGCAGCCCAAATGTTGGGATGTGCTCTGGAGGGTGTAGCCCAGCGGTTTTATGCAGGCCTTCCTGAGCATGAGCGACTGGATTACCAGTGGCTTTCACACACTCTGCGCAGGCGGTATGGAACCAGTCTTTCAGATGTTAAACGTGAAGAGTTGATGAGGCGAAGCCGTAAGTCCGGTGAGAAAATTGCCGACTTACGAGATGATCTCTGGCATCTTGCTCAAGGTGCATACCCTGATCTTCCTTATGAACTTCAGGAGAGGTTGGCTCTGGATGCACTGAAGAGGGCTGTGGATCAAGACTTGAGACTCCGGTTCATGGACCGAGGTGTACGTACCTTACAGGAGGCGGTGGATGTAGCTGAGCTGTACGAGTCAGTTGTAGGCAAACCTGGCCCCCCTTGCACAAAGCGATCTTAGCGCTAAGACTATCGTAAGCCTATGTTAAAGTATGGGAGTTACGATCATCTTAGCGCTAAGATCGCTTTGTGCAAGTGGGCCCTGGTCAACAGAGGTCGGTGCGGGCACTGAGTCCTTACCCTTCACAAGGAAGCAGAGTTCATTTTAACTCAGAGTTGGATGAGAAATCTGTCAACCAGAGACTTACTACTCTGACCAGTCAGCTGGCTGATCTTCAAAAGACAGTAGAGAAGCTTGCATCAATGCAGGTACAGCCATCTCGCTCACAAAGTTGCATTGCTAGAGGAAAACCTGTTGAGAACAATAAAAGCAACACATTTCAGAAGAATGAGGGGCGACCTCAATCCTCTCAAAATAGGAGAGAGCATTCCAATGGGCGTAGTTATTCGCGATCCCCTAGTGCTTCTAGGAGAGGAACCACTGCCTGTTTCACATGCGGTGAGAACAGTCATTGGGCTTCTGAGTGCCCTCAGAATTCCAAGACAAATAGTTGTCAGGGAAACAGTACCCCACCGACCCGGACTTAGGTCGGGCTTCGGTGGAGAGTTCTGAAATAGAAACCACAAATCCTAAGGAAGTGAGAGCTAATAAAGCAAGTGGTCAGATGGAGGGAGAGATTTGTTTGGTTTCTGGTCAAGGGGAGATAACCCCTGATTCCTCCCTTAATCCATCTGACCCAGTCAAGGTGAAGGCAAATTTCCAGGCTTGTTTTAAAGTAGGAGATAAGGGCCAATAAGTGAATGTCAAGGTTGGCAACATTTACTTCACTTTGCTTGTTGACACAGGTAGTCAGGTGACCTTACTTTCCCCAGCCGCAAGCAAGCGCTTGCCATCTTCACTAGCTGTCAACTCAATTGACATGGTTCTGGAGGCTGTTAATGGGAGCTTATTCCAAGTACATGGAATATTCAAAGCACCTGTTCACATTAGTGATGACATGAACCCCACTGTGGAGGAATTCCTGGTTGCAGAGGTTGATAATTCCCATGATTGTGATGGCATTCTTGGTATAGATGTACTGGATAGACTGGAGGGTCTGATCGACATCCCTGGGTCAAGGATCCGGTTGATGGGCAGGTGGTTACCAACTGCGAGAGCTGAAACCACTGTCATCGTTGCAGATGATGTCTTTTTGCCTCCCTAGTCTGTATCTTTTATCCAAGTGAGCTTGCCTCAACTTCATCGGGACCGGTCCTCGATTCTGATAGAACCCTGCAAGGCTATTTTATTCACACATGGTATAATCATGGGCAATTCAGTAGTCACAAATAGTAATAAGGCAGCTACAGTTAAGGTTATCAATGTTCTTGATACCAAATACACTTTAGCTAAGGGAAGAATTATTGGTCAGTGTCCGTGTGTCAATGTAGTACCAGATAAAGAAAGTATCACGAGTTAATGTTAAAAACTCGAAGGTGCCTGATCATTTAACAGATTTATTTGATCGCAGTAAAACAAACATCAGCTCTGAGCAGCAGGATGAGCTGAGAGATCTCCTGTACTCATACAGAGATACATTCGCAAAAGATGATGATGATCTTGGTCGAACTAACCTTGTTAAACACCGTATCAATACTGGTGATGCGAGACCTATCAAACAGGCTCCACGTCGTCACACGCTGGCGAGGCAAGAGGCGGAGGAGAAAGAAGTGGCTCGAATGTTAGAGCAAGGTGTAATCAGTCCCTCGAATAGTCCTTGGGCTTCCCCGACAGTTCTTGTGCAACACAAGGATGGCCGTTGGAGATATTGTTTTATTGATTTTAGGCTCGTAAATGAGGTTTCTCGGAAAGATTCCTACCCCCTACCTCGCATTGCAGACTGTATTGACAGTCTGGGTGGTGCCAAAATGTTCTGCACAATGGATTTGCAAGCAGGATACTGGCAGGTAGAAATGGATCCTCGTGATCGAGAGAAAACAGCCTTTGTCACACGTTACGGACTGTTTGAGTGGAATGTCATGCCCTTCGGCCTATGTAACGCCCCAAGTGTGTTCGAGAGACTTATGGAAATGGTGCTTAGAGGTCTCCAGTGGAATGAGTGTCTGTGTTTCCTGGATGACATCATTGTCTTCGGAACTACTTTCGAAAGAAACAATGTTCCGGCTTCAATCAGTTTTCGACCGTCTGACCTCAGCTGGCCTGAAATTAAAGCCTAAAAAATGTCACCTTTTTAAAGAGAGAGTCGATTTCTTAGGCCATGTTATTTCGGCTGATGGTGTTCACATCCAGCCAGAGAAAATAGAGGCAGTAAGATTGTAATGTACAAGCCTTTTGTACATTTCGGTCAGTAGACAGTGAGATGAATCATATTGTATATGTTGTATGTGATACAGCATACTACCGTAAAGATATACGTTATTGCTACATGAATTAACGTATATCACCACTGATCTTACTGAATGTTTGTTTAATGTGCAAAAACAAAATGTGAACACGTTCTAAATCACCTGTTTCGACGTCACCTATATTCGTGAGTTTGTTCCACGAAACTACTTCTTGTAGCATAATGGCTTAAATCAGCCTTGTATGGCTACAAAAGTGCATCTAGTCCATCTGAATGCATTGTATATTACTACACAGCCGTGACTCGAAGTAAAATAACTTCTGTCACTGGTGGAATGCAATTTCCCCACGTTTCACCGACCGTATCCCCATGCGAGAGACTACTTCCGGTATGACGTCACTTTGTTGACAGTTTGATCGGTTGTAGATTTTCTGATACGAGAGTGAAAGCCGGTTCGAGCCGAGATACATGTATGTGAGTTGACATTCAAGTATTTTATATTTATTGTACATCTTCCTAACTGAATGAAATACTGAAAAGAATAATTATATTCTTGTAAATTAATAAATCTTATTGTGCAATTCTTAATTGTGAAATTATTCTTGAAAAATTAAATAATTAAAACTGTGTGGTTGGTGGTATTGGGAGTGATCCACAATTCGCTACCAGAGCTGTACCCCAATATCCACCCCCTGAACCGTTACAGTCACATTCCAGGAAAACTTGTTTCGGTCATGTTTGTTGAGATAAAAAGCGTTTTTTGAGCACAGAATTGAAGAGTGACATTATATGATCAAGAGGTTATCACCCTTGTGTGTTTGGGGATGGCAATTATCCTGTATTAGGAATAAACATTGTATTTAGCTAAATACATAATGTTTATTCCTAATGCAGAATATTTACCATCCCTGAACACCCTCGCGGGCTAACCTCTATTTATCGCTTTTGCCAGCTAGGATATGTAAGCCTCACAGTGGTTAAAAAATGTTACCGGGTAAATGGCACAGTGTGGGGTATAAGTTCAGAGTACACATGCTTTTCCATTGTGTATCAGCTAATCCACCAACAGGTTTGTGTATGAAACCTCTCTGGCTTGCGCCTCAGAGGTCCTCTGACAAAATTGTATTGGTTGACACACCTATGAGGAGGTGTATATCGTGCTTCCTATAATTAGGAAATGTTTATTTGATTGTTGAATTATAGCCTTGAAGATCTTTACGCAAGGAATCCTTTATATGACTATCATAGAATTCCAGTTGAGCACAATTACTATCAGAATTGAAATATATGACAAGTAATTGTTTGACGTGAGATTGTTATGTACATACTATATGAACATGTTATATTGATATAATTCTTTACCCATTTGTGATTTCAGACAATTTGTGTTTGTGGTTGTGTTCTCAACATTCCTGATTGAGTGCATAAACTATGATGTTTTGTTTGCAAACATTGCATACAACCATACGCACAAGGTGACAATACCTGAAACAATCTACCCGGTCAAACAGTGCTTCCACAGGTAGGACTATACCCTTCACATTTTTAGCTCATGCAGGCTGAAGGTCCAAGAGAGCTTCTGGTTTGAAACCGTTTCCATCCGTGAACTTTTGACTTCTTTTCCAAATTAATACTAGAAGGATTGAGGAAATTTTAATGTAAAAGATAATTGGTAGAATTTCAAACTTTTCATATGAAACAACAAGGCCCTAAGGGTTATGATGACATGTACCATCTTAAAGGCAGTGAAAACACATGAATTAAAACATTTGTAAAGAATATCCTTCTCAGAAGCCACAAGTAACAGTAAACTGAAACTGTTAAGATGAAAATTATTACTTTTAATATTGGTACCATTCTGCAACAACTGTTTGCAAATTGTTTCTGTATTTCGACATCCATAAGACAGTGAAAAAAGCTGACATGGACACACCCCAGCACAGTCACCAATTACGGAGTTATCTGTGCCACCTCTTGCTCAGTTTCACCATTTTTGTGGAAAATATCCTTACTTGGGAAGTCCCTGACTAACCTCCAAGCTGGCCTTATGCTATGATGTTGTGTTTTATGTGCCTACAGTTACCACCATATCTCCAGTTATTTCTACAGCTCCCTGTTATGGTTTGGATTAATCAGTTGGTACATCTATATACCCCTCACAGATCCCTCCTATTTGTATCGCCCCTACTGTTGCTGCACGTACTGCCCAAAGATGTTCCAGTACAGCTGCTTTTCCAGAGATCAGAGGCAACTGGTCTCCTCTCCTCGTTTCATGTCTCAAGAAAATTAATAGTAGTTCAGTATAATGTATATGTGTAAGGTGATAGATACATTGATCGTCAGATAAGACTTTGTACATGCAGACAATGATTTTGTAATTTTCCCAAAACAAAGACATTATTTATAAATCATTTTCACTGTATATTTGCCTTAATGTTTTAAATCAGTGTTTTTCAAAGGCTCATTCAATATTGTTTTCAGTCAAAATCAGTGAGAACTGATCGGTAGATTGGTCCAACTCATTGTTATTTACAGCAACTGCAGTTAGGGCTATTGACACCTTGAAACGAACATTAGTTACTGTAAATCATGGCATTAATACGTTACCAAATTCATGTGAGATACAGACCTTCAAAACATTTTTCCTTTAAGTATTCAACAGATATAAGTCTTATACTGATATCATTCAATAGGGTAATATGTGTGTTCTTGCTGCCTCTTGGGATTTTAATCAAATCCCAAGAGGCAGCAAGAACTATTAAAGGCACTTGTAGTGATGCCTTGTCTACTTTACTATGTCATTATTGTAAAATATCATTGAAGCAGATAGTTATATAGATCTAATGATGAAAGGTCTTTTTTTCGAATGCCCTGTACTGAACTATTGAATCATCAAATTTCTTCTGTTTGTTTCAGATTTGACTTTTTCATCGTAGTGTGTCTGATCATTGCCTCTATTTTCTGGGTGTTCAGACTGATAAAGGTTGTGTACAACATCTTTAAATACCTGGAGATCCGATGTTTTTATCTATCAGCACTGAAAATATCAACAGTAAGTAGATTCAGCTGTTCATATAACACCATTTTACATAAATTTATTGTCATTCTAAAACTCACCTTTACTTGCATATGTTTCTTCCTCTGGAATCATCAGTGAGGGTGCTTACTTTTGATAAAAAACTGTAACATTGATGATCCAGATGGTAATAACGTATGGCGTAACTCTGTTAAAGTTTCCTCCCTTTACACTCATTGAAAAAGCATGCATGTGCAATGGGTGTGTAACCTTTGAAACACCTGCAACAGTTAACCAACAGTGTTCTCTGCATTTTACACCAAACTAGGTTTAATAACAATCCAATAGACGTTTTGGTTTTGTTTGTCTGGACCAGATGATCCAGGGATTGACATCATTATCCACTGAATTGAGATACCATAACATGCATTCAACCAAGTCACTGAGCCTAATCCATTTAGTTGCCTCTTACAACAAGCATAGGTTGCAAGGGACCTATATTCTTGCCCAGAATTTTCACAGGTATAAATGAATAAGGAGATAAAACAAAACAATAAGATGTGAATCTGTTAATGAGCAAGTGGAAATGGTCCAGACCATAAATAATATGTCAGTTCATCTTAAATAGTGTGGAGATGATTGAAGTATTAGTATGAACAATTACAGTCCAGCCATTGTGGCACTGAAATGGTAAACCTAAGTTGTCATGAAAACATGGGATGGCAAAATCATTGGGTTATTTCATTCAGGAATTCTCTTCTTTCTGGATATATGGTAACTCCATCATATTGCATATATATTCCCAATGTTTATTAACATGATTTATGTTTTAGATTGTACATGTGGGATAGAACAGTTACCATTATCAATGTCTTATTTTAAGTAGGATTTTGTCTATTCACTTTCGGAGCTCAACCTAGTCCACTCCCACAATTCACCCACCCCCCACCCACAGATGTTAATAAAAGAGAGCTGAAGTTGGTCTACTTCAATCCTTTTCTGTGATTGTTCAATATAATGAACAAGAACACATAACATTTAAATCAACTGAGCCTTTTGTCATAAATTTAATTCAGGAATATGCTGAACATGTGTCCCTCTGGTCGACATGTTATTGACTGTGATACCTCTTAGAACAAGCAGGCATACCAAAATTTATTGTCAATGAGTTATTCAGTGAATACTTTTATATCACATCAAACAGACATAGTCTCCTCAAAAAACACTCAACTGAAACTGAAACTATATACTTGTTCCCACCAATGGTTATATCCTAATTTGTTTGAGGGAGTTGAATCTGATTTAAAAAAACTATTTATGGACAATGCTCAGCCATAATTCTTGCAAAAACCCTACCTCTGTTACATCATTGCCATCTATCCTGCATACAGATCTTCTCAACTATCCATTATTATTATCCCCCGCCACAAAGTGGAAGGGGGATATAGGAAAGGGTGCCGTCCGTCCGTCCGTCACATTTTGTTTCCGGAGCAGATCTTGAAAACCGTACCATATTTCTTCACCAAACTTGGCACATAGACAGGTCTAGTGGTGAACTGGTGCCTTTTGTTAGCTTGAGAATTTTAAAAACATTATTTTTCGAGTTTTCATGGTAACGACTTTGATGGGTGCTGTCCGTCCTTCTGTCTGTCCTTCCATCCATCCGTCACATTTCGTTTCCAGCGCAGATCTTGAAAACCGTACCATATTTCTTCACCAAACTTCGCACATAATGTCATCTCGCAGTATTGAATACATTTCCTTTCTTGTTGGTAAGTTCTGCATTGCTTGTGTGTATGTTCCTTCAAAAGTGTCATGGACACGGTTGTTGCATTCACTGACTAACTTCATGCCGAAACACAACTCATTACAAATACAACAGTGTAACTGATCTCAAACCTACTCAACTGTATAAACACTGCCTCCTATACTGTATGTATTCTTGTCAACCATACTCTGTACTTCACTTGCTTGATAACGGTGTTAGAACCTACACATCGATCCTAATTGTAATATAGAAGTTGTTTGTCCATATGTCTCATCCTTACTCATTACAAATACAATAACATGTTCTGTCATAAACTGCAGATGGCAATACAACACCAGTAATAACTTTTTTTAATGCTGCAATTAGGCCATTTACAAAAAGGCCCAGTGAACATAGTTCACAGGAGCTAATGCATTGCACACAACCGGACATGCCATATTGGCGGGGGATTTGAGTATTTCATGCTTGTTTGTGCCTTAAATAGTATCTGCCTTCAAAAGCACCTGCGCAGAGTCTGTGGAAGAGTTTCTCACCCCGAGGAGAGAGGGTGATTCACCTTTGACCACTCTATCTTCAGGCTACCACTGCCGTGTTGACTGGGATTTGCTGGGCAGCTCAAGAAGAGCGGAGAACTTAGCACCAATGACCTAGACAGACGGAGCTACCAGACGGCCATGTCCTCCAAACTACACATATTCTCTCAAAAGGTCATTCAGTGTCTTCCGTACCACAGCTTGCTGCACTCCACTTGATGTCCTCGATAATCGGATCTGCATGGACTTGACATGCCCCAACCAGCATCCTTGACCAGCCTTGGGTCCAGATCAAGCAGACAGTGATATTATGGCTGTATTGGCTATGGTGTATGCTCCTTTGCTAATCTGATTACAGAACTCTTTGATTTCATGCCTCGTCATAAACCAGCTGTCCAAGAGCAAGTTTCCAACTCTTATCTCATCTCAGGTTTCTGGTTCATCCAATCACATCCTGTATCAGGATGTAGCCTACATAGGAGCCAGGTTCCAGCTTTACAGAGGCATCAATTTTACAAGATGGTGCAGATGATATCTTAGGTGATGTATCAACTGTATCATACACTCTGCTGATAGATGTCGTACAATATGACTTACAGAGGTAGGCTCCAACTTACTGTTGTCCAATGTAAGACATCATTGTGTCCTTTCCTCCAACGGTGATGGATGGTCTCACTTGGTTGAGATCTTAGGAGAATGTCGTGTGTGGATACCCATCTGTTGACAGATGCGTCCAACTGAGGATGGGGTGCACATATGGACAATCTGACAAGACAAGGGATCTACTATGCTCTCAGTGTGTGCAAACAGCGTTTATACCATTCTTCAGTCCTGGTGGACATGGACATGACAGTGGTGGACTCCATTCAGAGGTAAGGGGGAATGAAAAGGAGCTGATTGATGTAAGACACAACATGTTTGTTTGCGTTGGTCAATTGGATCAACTGCAGGATAGAGGCTTGCAATATTCTGGGGAAACTCAACAGTGGACAGTTCTTTTTGGCCATCACTTTTTTGACCTGACTTGCCATCAAGGATTGTGAACACATAGTGGTCCTCTACAACATGTTTGCCTACATCTTTCCCCCTTGGTCTCTCGTAGACAGCTCTGAGGAAGACTGAGGACTCGGAATGCACAATCATCTTCATGTCACTGGTTCGGCCAGCTCAGCTGTGGTTCACCAGTCTGTTCCCATTGCCACTAGAAGAACACCACCGGCTATCAGAGCAACTAGATCTTTTTCTACAACCGAGATCAGACATTGTGTGTGGAAACCTATGCAGAATACATTCGATGGAACAAATTTTGCCAGTGGCGCATAATGAGGTGGAAAGGGACGATAGTGGCAACCAAGAACTTGGACATTCAAACTCTACTTGTGAAAGGAACGGTTCATTACTAGACAATGCAGACACCAGCTTAGGTTTCTAATGGCCAGTCTTCCTAGTGCCGAAGAAGAACATGTCGGAGATGGTGATGATTATTGACTTAAAGTTTGTCCATGTAAGTCGAAAACGAAATTAATCAAGCACCATCTATAGCACCATGGATAATAACACTGTCTACTCAGACTTCATGACTGCATTGACGACTGATCAAGGTAGACATATTACATCACTTGTCAGCACTGGTTTCTATGGATAACACCATGGTAGTAGTGAACCTACGAAAACAAGGTGGATGGAAATCACAACTTTTATGGAAGGTGACCACTTGTGAGACTTGATAATCTGCAGATTGGATGCAGATTTGATAAGCTACAGATTGGTCACATACCTGGCAAACTCAATGTATTGGCAGATTGTCAAGGGACAAGATTGTTTTGATGGAGTGGTCTCTCCATCCTAACATCTTCAGATGGATAAAGATAACTTAGGACACTCCACATCTCGACTTCTTTGCGACATGTCTCAACAATAGGCTTCCCATTTATGTCAGCTAAATACAAAACCCACAAGCTCTACATGTGTGCTTCCCTGTCACTGAATTGGGACAGAATGTTTGCTAACTCATTCCCACCTTCTTGACAAAAGTGGAGGATTTGGACTGTGTAGTCATACTCATCGTGCCAGCTTTGTCAAACAGGACGTGGTTCCCAAAATTTCTCTCTCTCCTCATGGAAGCTCCACTCTCACTACCACCATCTACTTCACGATTTTCTTCAACAGTCAAGATAGGACCTCATCTATGGAAGGCTCAACAGTCTTCACCTATACACCTTGAAACTAGCATGGCAAAGATGCTGGCTTCTGGCTTCTCCAAGTCTGCCCCTGATGTTGTGGCATGGTCATCCACACCTTCCTCTTCTGCCATTTACAGAAACCAATGGCACAAGTTCAGGCAAAGAGGAATAGGATTGAAACATGGTCATGTAACTATCCTCATGTTGGCTGATTTCTTGCTACACCTACGACAGGAGAAGAATTTCGGCATCACTCGATTGGAGGATAAAGGTCAGCTCTAGAATCTGTACTAACATGATGGACTATCACTCTAAGAATTCTTCCAGAGTTCATTGCCAAGAATAAGTCTGCCAGAAAGAGGTCCGCTTTGACACTGGGAATACTCCATCCTGGTGTGGAACAGAAATGTGGACTATCCTGACAGACTATTGTGTCCAGTGCGAACACTGAAATTTAACCTCACAGATAGTCAAGAACATCATCATCATCAAGGAAAGACTCTTCATCTCCTGCAAGCCTACTGCTGATAAGGAAATCACAAAGGAAACCTTTTAAGGTTGGCTGAAGACTACCATCTCTCCGCCCATATGGAGAGACTGTGAAGCACTTTAGATTCATGCAATATCCACTAGTCTAGCATCATGGAACTCCATCTCTGGTCTAGGGGGGGGGGACAAATCATTGGGTAACAACCGGTTTTGCACTTAAATATCTGGAAGTGATCTATTGTTCAACAGAAGTGTTGACAAAATATGAAGTCGTTGGTGCCGTATGGGATGTCAACACAACCCAGAAGTTACATCATTGGAACCAGAAAAGAACACCCATAGAAATGGAAGAGACATCATCAGAACTGAAAGCGACATCACAGGACACAGTAGTGACGTCATAGACCAGAATTGGCATCATGGAAATGCCAGTATGCTGGTAATTTCAGAAGAATTAGTCTCTGTATGTTTTCATAAAGTTCCTTACTGTCAGCTATCTTAGATTACTATATACTAGATCCCACCATCACTCTGATGTATTCTGGCTATGATCTAATGGGGGTAAGGTATTGGAAGGAGTCATGAAACAACAGTTATCATTTAGTATAGTTCTAAGAATACCACCTCTATTACATCAGAAGTAGTCATTCCCACCTTACCAATATATCTGCATCTTGTGGATGTAGTGATTGGAAAGAAGTGATGTGTTCCCACCCGCACATGCGGAGAGGTTTACCTCCCACTTTAATGGGATGGCTGAGAGCAAAAAGGATGTCTTTTGTAAATCTGAAGTTTTTTTTATTATTAGTGGGACGATAACAAATGTACAAAACTATTGGAAATGATGTAATAGAGGTAGTATTCTTAGAATTGTACACAATGATAACTATTATTTGAATTCTTTGTGAGTGTTACATTTGCGAGTGAGTTTCTCAGTAGGTTTCAGCACATAGATAGATCAATTTATTTGTACATCTACACTAATGGGTGAATGTACGTTACTCAGTGTTTAGTGTTATTTCAGGGGTTCCTTCACCATAACATTGATCAATAACGAAGAGGGCGGTCGGGTAGCCTAGTGGTTAAAGCGTTCGCTCGTCACGCAGAAGACCCGGGTTCGATTCCCGACATGGGTACAATGTGTGAAGCCCATTTCTGGTGTCCCCCGCCGTGATATTGCTGGAATATTGCTAAAAGCGGCGTAAAACCATACTCACTCACTCAATAACGAAGACAATTTTTTCTTGATGGCATCCCTAGCCATGTCTCCATGACCTTAGTCCTCATTTCGGAATAGTTAGTGCCAGTAAATAGAATCTTGTAACATTCACATATATAGACATATTCTGATGATGTGTCTATGTAAGTGCAAGTTTCCTCTCCTACTAAGATACTTTACCAGTTTTCCGCATGGTTCTGATGGATCTCAGCCACAAAGGCTTCCACAATGATTAAAACCCATACTCTCAGAGTGAGGCACCTAATCGCCTGAATACAAAGTCAGTCTTCACAGGCTGGGTAGCTGAGTAGATTAGATCACTGACTTTGTGTGCTGGTGATTAGGTGCCTCACTCAGAGAGGGTGGGTTCGAATCTCAGATGGGACCCACAAAAGTACTGGAATTTGTACTCTTCTAAGAAAATGTGATCCCAAATAAAACATTTGTTGCATTTGACCACTCTCTAAAAGCAATGTGTATCACATGTGGTCAATGTGTGTAAGAGGAATGAACTTCCAGGCAGAGGTGTATTTCCGGTGGCCTTCTAGAAATGGAAATGCTTTTGTATAAGCAAGTACATATATATTTCAAACACCTTTTTGGTTTGAACATTTTTTTTTGACTCAACAGCTTTCGAGGTGATATTGATCGAGTCAACAATATTTGGTTTATGAATATTCCGTAACCTTTGAAAACCTGCAAGATTGGTCAATATTACTCAATCAAAGGCCACATGACAGTGATAGTCTATGTATTACAATTAAGGGCCTACTTTTGAATATATTCTCGAAACTATTAAAGTCAATCTGATTTTATTTAACAAGGTGAGCTATAATACCATAGGTTATTTTTTTATCCTTTTGAAAACAAGTAAGCATAGATACTTTTGATCCAAAACGTATATTCCAAAATGCCATAAATTTGGAAAAGTATTGTGAGGTAGTGTCATTCTTTTCCATGTGGCGTTTGTCTTGACTTGTTTCAGACTGACCTTCCGAATATGACATGGCATGAAGTACAGAGATGCTTGCTGGAGGTTCAGAAGGAACAGCATCTGTGTATTCACAAACAGGAGCTTAATGAACTTGGTAGGTACTGAGGTATGCAGGCAAAGTTGTTGCCATATAAAGTGTCTAAAACTGAAGAAACAGTCTGTAGAGAAAATTTATAAAGTCAGTGTAAAGACAGATAAGATGTTGCCAAAGTTTGTTAAATTTAAACAATTGGCCTCTCATTGCATCACTTCAACCAAAATTTCACAATACAGAACAGAATGAAGGTTTCTATCACCTTTGCTATCTTTTGGTGATCAGTTTTAATAAAAACACCAACAGCCATTATTATATAGTGTACCGCAAAAGAAACATCCCCATATGAGAAGCCTTATTTGTCCAAACATTGTAAACATACTTTGAGACATATTAAAAAGATGAAACTTGGCAAAACTGATCATCAAGGTTGAAATTAAAGTGTCAAATGTTCTTAAAGTGAAACACAACACTAGTCTCTGAGAAAATGCCATCACAAGTCAGTACCTCGTGTGTCCACCATTTGCATTGATGACTGCCGTGCAATGTCGATACGTGGAATGAACGAGGTGGTTGATGAAGGCTATAGGCACTTGAGTCCACACTCTGAGGAACACCTGAAGCAGTTCAGCTACAGTTGTCAGCCTTGGTTGGACGTCATTCAGCCATCTTTGAATCTCGTCCCACAGGTGTTCAATGGGATTTATATCAGGCCTGAGGGCAGGCCACTGCATGGTTCTGATGCCATTCTGCCAGAGGAAGTCTCTTGTTGCTCTCGCAGTGTGGGCACTCGCATTATCATGCTGAAACTCGTGGTTGCGGCGACGTGCCAAATGAGGTATGGCGTGTGGTCTCAAGATTTGATCAATGTACCGAGCTGCTGTGACACCATTGCCTCTCCCTGGACCAATGTTCTGGAAGACCACAGGGCCGACCCTCTGTGCAAGACCTATTCCACCCCACACCATGATGCTCGGACCAACCCACGAGTCTCTCTCAACAACACAAGCATCCGAATAACGTTCCCCAAGGCATCACCAGACTCTCTCTCTGCCATCTGCTGTTGAGATACAGTAACAGCTCTCATCTGAGAAGAGGACTCTTCTTCACTGCTGTGTTCCCCACTGACGACGGTCCCTGCGATGACGTGGTGTCAGAATGGGTCCTCTGTGTGGCCTGTGACACTGGAGGTGTCAGCTTGTCAATCGTCCTCGCACGATGTCCGCACTATTGTGTCTCTGGTGTGTCCCGAAGACCTGTCGAGCAGTAACAAAGCGACGTCGGGTAGTGACCCTTGGTCTTCCACTATGTTGTCGGTCAAAAGTAGTGTTGGTGGTCTGGTACTGTTGCTGGAGCCTGTATATGGTTCTTACGTGCACTTAAAATGCAATGGCTACTTGCCGGGCACTTATGAGCAGTTTCCGGAACCTGTATATGGTGGACTTGAAATGCATAGGCTACGGTTTGTCCAGCTTGCAATTGTCCAAGGGCTTTGTGTCGCTGATTTCTTGTCAATCTTGACAATGTTATCCGATCTATGTGGATTTTTATAGGGCAAGAAATGGGGTAACGCAAGTGCAGTTCAATTTGCACGGAAGTCATGTGCATCGGGTATCAAGGCCATTGCCGTGATGCGTTTGGGCGATCGGTTTTATTGTCATCTGCTTTGTTTTTTTATCATCAAATTTCATTTTTCCGGACAAGGTATGAATGTTAAATTTTAGAAACTTTGACAAAAATTACCCAAATATGTAAACGACAACTTTTCATGCAATGTTACTTGGGGTCATGTTTTTTTTGCAGTTCAATATATTTTTCTTCTTTTAAGAGCTCACTTAACTAATATCATTTTGACCCCCCATCCCCACCACACCTCATCAGGTTTTTGAAGAAGTAAAATCCAATACCTAAAAAACGGTACTATTAGGTGTGTTTTTTTATATTTACTTTGAAAATAGTCTTGAAGGGAAAGTAAAGGGATAACATTGATTGCGACTTTGTTGCAGATATCAATTTTCCAATACACATTAAGTCAATAAGATCATATTTAAAATCATGGGGCTTGGAAGTTAACTCCCCAAAAAGAACATTGTTGTGTTTAGAAAAGGTAGGTGAGTACAGCCAATGGAGAAGTGGTCCTATAATGATACAAGGATGGGTGTCATTGACAGCTTTACATATCTGGGAATTATTTTTAGTTCTACACCTCTTTAAAAGCATCACAACACCAAATTTAAAGATGAATTGCGAGTCCATTTTAATGTAGAGATTTTCAAAAGGCACACTGTGTGTTGACACATCATCTGCCTGTAGAACGGTAGCAACCTTGTGGGTACGTTTATGTGAGCCGTATGTATACCTTAGAGGTCTCTATAGAGAAATTCATGTTTGATGACCGGAAGTTCATACATCTTTACTGTTATTAATTTTGAATGAAAGTTATAGCAATTTGATATTCTTTGGAACAATTGTAACTGAAATGTCTAAGTGTACTATCCCAGAAAATCAAAGATGACAAATCATTGGCATGCACCAAACTGGCATGTAATGTTGGGCTTTTGCCACCACATTAAACATTATTGGTATTGTAATCATAGGAAAACACACCTGACTTGACAGATCATGCGAGGGACTTGCTGAGATTAGCATGTCCACAGAAGACAAGTGCCAGATCCTTGCACGCTAAAAAATGGTTGCCAACTTCAACTTGCATGGTTCTTTGTCATCACCACCAGGCAACAACATTAATAAGACCAATAAGACGTCCACTCCTCCCACCCCAAATATATGTGGGACCATGTAGCCTGGTGTCAGTCTCGGGCACAGGAGTTTTTATTGATCTGACAAGAGTTGTTTTTTATTGAACCACACTGATGGTAGGACACGTGTCTAGAGGCAAAGGGGAACATCTTATCATCAGTGCAACATCCAGGGAACAGAGGCGTGTGGTGGCGGCTCAGGGATGGTATGGGCATGTTACTCCTTTGATAGTAAACTTTATTTGATCACAGTTCAGGGGACATTAAATAGACAAAGGTACAAAGATACCACATTCGCCAGTTTTGTTGTGCCTCATTTTAATAACAATGTACTTGCCACAAGGATGGATTGTCATGGATGACAATGCAAAACCCCACCAAGCATGAGCTGTGACTGACCATCTCCAGAATACCGCCATTGAGACTCTGCCTTAGCCTTCTCGAAGCCCAGACCTGAATCCAATCCCTGCATCGATGGGATCAGTTGAGACGTTGGGTCAGAGCAAGGGACCCTCCAGTATAGGATCTTCAAGAATTGACCAAGCCATTGCATGAGAAAAGGCAACACACCTCTCAGTTGAGGAAGAGGCGTCTGATTTTGAGCTTGAGGTGACGTCTTGCGCATGCGATGCGTCTACTGGGTGGCTACATCAGTTATTGACACGGTTGATCATTTAACTGTGATATGGGTACATGTTGATCTGTCCGTCTGTTTCTGTAAGCGATTATTAGGTGTTAAAAAATCTACATGTAATGCAATGGTATATGACATCTACATAAAAGAATGTACAAAACGGCTTGGGGTTTTGTTATATCATAAAGCATTGGTCTACAATTTTTTCCTTTACAAAAACCCAAGGTGGTGTGTTAATTTTTAAACTACACTCACCTTTTTTACGGGTTTTTACACCTTCGCGCGTAACACGCTCCCTTTGGTGTTATAATTATACTACGACATTGGCTATTAGTATCGCGTTACAAATCGCATTCTACATTACGCCTTTGCTTCTAGTTTCACAATTTATGCACGTATCCTTCCGATCTTTATATCGCACTGATACACTTTAATACCCTTCCCGCCCACCTCAGAAATTACGGTCTTTTTTACAAAGACCTTCAAACTGTGTACAGGTTGTTATAAGACAGGCACGAACGCTGCCTTAAATGTCTGGCGGAGGACGGGCATTGCCTTTACCCCCTGGGCCCAAAAAAAGAGACAAGTTGACTTGCTCCACTTTAAAGAGGTCTATTAAAGGCGGGAGTAGATATCAGATCTGCTGAGACCTCCCCACCCCTGTCCCCATCTAAAAAGGGTAAAAAAAAATAATAAAAAAAAAATAAAAAGCTGCAGTGACTGTCTCCCCCGCTCCCTCTCCGGGGGCCGGGGGAGAAGGCTTGAGGGTCCTCGTAGTAAGCACTGCACCCTCTCCTGCACTGTCTTTAGCAGACTTTTCTGCGTTACTTAAGTCGCAGATGGCGTCGATGATGGAGGAGGTGAAGTCTCGGCTCCGGCAGGAGCTACGGGCTGAGCCTTCCCTGTTGTCGGCGCCGGACGCGGCTTCGAGACCTTGTGTTATGCCCGGCGTCGGCCGAGGCAGGCCACTTGGTCTCGAGGACGATCCGTGACCGAGGGCCGAGGCCGAGGCTTCCACTAGTGGATACCTAGCCCGGAGCCAGGTGGGTTCACCTGGTCTCAGGAACGATACGAGACCGAGCTTCGGCTCCGGCTTGCGGCCGCTCCCCAGCAGGGGGTGGCAGGCGCCGGCCCGTGCACTACCGACGCACAATTTTCCCTAGCGGAGCCAGACGCCTCTTCCGAGGCCGAGGCTTCCACTAGTGAATACCTAGCCCAGAGCCAGGTGGGTTCCCTTGGTCTCGGGGATGATCCGAGACCGGGCTTCGGCTCCGGCTCGAGGTCGCTCCCCAGCAGGGGGTGGCAGGCGCCGGCCCGTGCACTGCCGATGCACATTTTTCCTTAGCGGAGCCAGAGGCCGAGGCTTCCACTAGTGGATACCTAGCCTAGTGCAAGGTGGGTTCCCTTGAACCCCCAGTACCTCGGCACCGGGACTCGGTTCGGACCGGGTGCAGAGGTACGTGCGGGACAGGATTGTCCAGGTACTGCCTCAGGTGGCTGCGCCCATGCCAGAGTCAGACACCCCCAACTTGACTAAGGTCAAGCAGGGCCGTCGGTTGAAGGCTGCTTACATATGCTTCGAGGAGCAATGTCATAACAGCTCCGTGTCTCTGCACACACCGCGTGTATCTGTCGGCTGTACAGAGGGAGTTAGCGGGAGAGGCGCC